GAATAACAATGGTTGGATGAGAAGAGATTCATGTGAGCCAATAGAAATGGTGTTTTTGCCACCATGACACAGCACAACCACCATGGCATTATCAACAACCCGAACCTCGAGTTGCCAAACCTCCCACACCTAATCCTCTCACCCGTCTGTATCCAGCCCAGATGTACTAGTGCGAGGGCGTGACATACATTCGCCTCTCGATCTAGTTAGATAGTTAGTTTCTTGTTTACCAGATCTTAGCGCGGTAGTCGACGTGGTGTGTACGGGCATCTTCTTGTTATGGCAGCGAGTTTTAACATTGCTAAGGTTACACATTGTACGGGTCGTTCTTATCGTTCGTCGCTTCACGCGTTTGGTAGCGTGCTAGCAGAATCAGATCTGACATCAGACATTGCAGTTCGCCTCATCGCGTTCGTTGCACGCCTCCAGATCTGACGTTCTTTATTGCTTGCGGATCGAGGACGGAATAGTAACACTCGACCGCGGACAAAAGGTCGCGTCGCTTTTAAACGCATCAGTGACGGTGCGCGTATTCGTCGATTAGACAGCGTGTCGACGGTAATCGGACGCAAGACGGAAATAAGGAGGGCGGGAGGTGAGTGGCGGGGAGAAACGGGATAAACGGGAGAGGATTTGCGAAAAGGTAACAGAGGAAACCGCCATTTCCCCCTATTTTTCCCCATTTCCCTCCCCTTTTTTCTGCTTCCCCTTCTTTCCCTTTGCACCCCATGACCTTGCCTAGAAACGTCATTCGTCTCTCCGCTTTCCAGCTCTTTCCTCATCTTCCCTGCCCTCCCCGCATCTTCTCCGCTCTCCCCGCATCTTCTCCGCTCTCCCCGCATCTTCTCCGCTCTCCCCGCATCTTCTCCGCTCCCCCCGCATCTTCTCCGCTCCCCCCGCATCTTCTCCGCTCTCCCCGCATCTTCTTCGCTCTCCCCGCATCTTTCCCACCCTCCCCTCATGCCCCCCTCTCTCCCGTCATCCCCCCAGCCCCCCGCCGTGTCACCCGCGCACTCTTGCTCACCCACCCTCATCTCCCCTCCACTCACCCCTCGTTCCCCATCTCTCCCCCACCTCCCCTCATCCCGCATTTCCGACTCACCCGAGTTCCCCTTCCCCCACCATACCTCAATTCACCCCCCCTCACGCCTCCTCTCCCTCCTGATCCACCCCTCATCTCCCTCCCCTACCCTACCACCGCAAACCCATCATCCCTCATCTCCCTCACTCCACTTCCCCTCTCTACAACCTAACCACCCAACACCCCCCTTCGCTCTCCCGTCAGCTTTCCCCCACTCGCCCCTCATCTGTCCCCGCTCATTCACCCAACATCCCCCCACCCTCCCTCTCCCTCTCCTCCCCGTTCCCCTATGTGTCTGTTTGCCTGCAGTGCATGTCTTTTGACTCCTCAGCTTCCCGGTCTGTCCCCCCCACCCACTCCATCCTCATTCCCTCCATTTATTCACTTCTCATTCCCCTCATCTGTGTGACTGCTTGCTTTTGCGGCCACTGCATGCCTTTGGCCCCTCAGCTGCCTGGTCTGGCAGGTGAGTGCTTGTGATTGCTGCTTCTGATTGCTGCTTGTCTCAGGCAAGACGGTGATTTTAAACCCTTTTGGCACTGTCTTCCTGTCTCCTTGCTTGGTTTTGTGGCATGTCAAACAACTCAGCTGCCTGGTTGCTTGCATGTGACTGGTTGATTTGGCAGCCACAGTAACAACTCTCCCTGGTTCCTGGTGTGACAGATGGCTGCATGTGATTGGGCAGCAGCAGGCTGCTATGATTATCCTTTTTGTTCCTAGAGTTTGTTAACCATTGCCATGACAACTGGAGTGGATGCATTTTTGTACACCATGTAAGTAAGGTCATCTTGTACTCCAGCAGCTAGCCTGGCAATGTATCGCCGCATACCGTAAATGCATACTATACTAGAATGTTCTCTAAGTAGGTAGGTTGTGCAATGTCAAACAATAGAAGTGTGTGGGTAGATTAAAGCTCCGGTATACATTTGAAAGAAGGGGTGCTGTGCTGAATGAGAATCAATCAAAATCCATGGCCTGCATGGTGCCAATCATGCTGCTGCTGTTAGGGGTGAGCTCAGAAAGGGCTGTTGGCTTGGGAGGCTCACTTGAATGTGTTTGTACATTTCTTTCAATGTTGGGCAATACATAAATATCGGCCTGCACACACAATCGGCACTGAATCCTACACGGCCTGGCTAAACTAAACAACTGAAAAGAACAATGTGGAAAATAGTAGGCAGGAACGGTTCAGGCAAAAGGCAGAGATGTGAGGGCGTGCTTGTTGGAGGCACCCCACCAACCACTCGAGAACAAAGCACCCCTTTGAACTGGAAACATGATGTGATGTGAGCACACGGATACTCTGGAAACATGATGTGATGTGAGCACACGGATACTCTGGAAACATGATGTGATGTGAGCACACGGATACTCTGGAAACATGATGTGATGTGAGCACACGGATACTCTGGAAACATGATGTGATGTGAGCACACGGATACTCTGGAAACATGATGTGATGTGAGCACACGGATACTCTGGAAACATGATGTGATGTGAGCACACGGATACTCTGGAAACATGATGTGATGTGAGCACACGGATACTCTGGAAACATGATGTGATGTGAGCACACGGATACTCTGGAAACATTATGTGAGCAGAGCACACGGATACTCTGGTTCGAGACTCCACACCATCCACTCAGCCGGGAACAAATCCCCTTGTTCCGGAAAATCTGGAGCAGACTGTGAGCAGCACAGGAGCCCCATGAGAGGAAAGCTTCGTAGCAGATCTCTTCACAAGGCTTCACAGAGCAAAGCTTCACAAGGCTGCGGCTGAGCGGATTTGTTGGCCACCGAAAAAGGGCTGTGCATGGTTCATAGCAGAGGTAGAGTCTAGCATTCTGCTGTCAGAGCAGGAGGGTTGCCGTTCGGCAGGACAAGGGAGGGGCAGGCGAGGATGCGACGACAGGCTGCCTCTGCTGCTGCTGAGGGATAGGAGGCTAGCTACTGGTCCCAGCAGACAGAGAGGCCTTCATACATAGGGGCTGTGCTATGGTGAGTGCAGGGGTCAGAGCAGGGGGGTGCCGTTGGGGAGCACGAGGGAGGGGCAGGCGAGGATGCGACGCAGAGCTGCCTCTGCTGCTGGCAGTGAGTCGACGGCGTCTGATGTGGTGAAGGACAGGCGCTGCACGTGGAACTGAAGGAGTGGGGAGGGGTGGGAAGGGGTGTGGAGGGGTGGGGAGGAGTTGGGGCCAATGGAGAGGGAGGGGCATGGGTGTGAGAGCTGCCTCTGCTGCTGGAAGCGAGTCGACGGCGTCTGATGTGGTGAAGGACAGGCGCTGCACGTGGAACTGAAGGGGTGGGGAGGGGTAGGAAGGGGTTGGGATGGAGAGAGAGGGGAGATGGAGGGGCATGGGTGTGAGAGCTGCCTCTGCTGCTGGCAGTGAGTTGACGGCGTCTGATGTGGTGAAGGACAAGCGCTGCACGGGGAACTGCAATGGGGTAGAGAGGGGTAGGAAAGGGTGGGGATGGAGAGAGTAGCGGAGAGAGAGGGGCATGGGTGTAAGAGCAGATTCCGCTGCTGGCAGTGAGTCGACTGCGTCTGATGTACGGAGAACTGCAGAGAGAAAGGGTGAGATTGGGTTGCGAGGAAGATTGAGGCATGTGCAGAGTGTCATATCACCACTGGCTGGATAGACGTGCACATGTGACATGTCATCCCGCCTGCATGCCATGTCATCCCACCTGCATGCCATGTCATCTCACATGCACACAGCCAACCTGAGTGCCATGGCGCACGCGGATATCCACCCCCTTGCTGTCGAAGCTGATAAACGAAGCATCGTCCATGGCCTGCTGGGACCTCGCTGCTTTTGAGGCGCCTCAAAAGTCGCTGCTTTTGAGGCGCCTCAAAAGTCGTCTCATGTCTCGCGGTTTTTATGTGGGGAGAATTATAATTGCATGGAAGTGTGCGCGTAACCTTCAGCGGTTACTTGTAAGGGCGCGGTTACCAAAGTCACTCGCCAATGTTGTCGAAGAAGTTCCCGAAGGCTGACTTGGCACCCTGAATTTGTTTCAATGCTTAGTTGGCGAACCCCTTTCCTAGTCGGATTCTGGGTAGTTGGGTTTCTTGTATGTAGATCTCGAGGGTAGTCTAGCTACTTTAGCTGCTACCAGACTCTCTGTTTCTGAGTTCTGAATTGTGCTGTACTGATGAAGGCGTGATTGGGTTCGCCCATCCGCCGAAACTAGTTTACGCAAGGAGGCTTTTCGGAAGCTAAGGGTTTTTCAGATCTGCGTTTTTTCACAAGCGTTTTTCACTATTGTTCCTTTGCCTAAGCGTTTTTCTGCTACTGCAGCCCTTCGACCATGAGTTTGGGTGACCCTTGGGATACCGAATGGTTTCCAGAAAACGAAGAGGCCGGTACTGAAGGACGCGGCTCGTCGAAGAAGGCTCGTGGGCGCGGAGGATCGTCGCGTCCTGTGGCTAGGGGTGCATCGAAGCACTCTCGGGACGGCAGTCGTATTCCGCCTTTGCAGCTGACCTACGAACCTGTTTCACGAAGCAAGCAACCTGAGAATCCTCCCCCCGGTACTTCTGGGAGCCGTCCAAGCATGGAGATGCCGATCAGCCCGTTGACAATTCTCCGATTCCTGAAATTTTCAACAGTTGGACTGCTGCAGCGGTGAAAGATTTCCGGGACGGCTTCAAGGACCTTCTTAAAGCGAAAAGTAAGCTGAAAAAGATGAAGGAGTTGGATCGTCAAGGTTCTATTCTGCACAGCATCAGGACTAAGGCGGTTGAATTCCAGACGAAGAACGACTCCGTCAAAGAGAAATCTGCAGCAGCTGTCGCGAAGATCCATTTGGAAAATCAGAAACGGCTGCAGGCGGAGTTTATCGCTTCTAAAGAACTGGAGGTTGAAGAATTTCAGGCAGCTGTCGGCACGCATGTCACGACTCTGGCGACGAAGATGGAGGAGTACATCCAGGGCCTCAGCTCCGACCCCGATCTGGTGGTTTCTGATGCCGTCAAGGAACGCTATCGGCGACAGAAGGGGCGGTGCATCGAGAAGGCTCAATCCGACATCGCGGCGGCCAAGGATGAGATAACCATCCGAGAGATCGATCGACAGCGTAAGCAGGCGGCTGAGGATTTGAAGAAGGCTGCTGCGGCTGAGGAGGTGCAGGAGATGGAGATGGAGCCTGCGATTGGGGAGATTCTAGCTATGCAAGCCAAGAAGATTGAAGACAAGCTTTCGCGGGAGATTACGCAGAAGCTTGAGGCCAAGCTATCTAAGCAGCTGCAGAAGAATCTTCACGTTGGGGAGCAGAACCCTTCGCAGGCCGCATCCGCTGAAAAGAAGCAAACGGCACAACCTGGGAGGCAGGACGGTGCGCCTGGGAAGCCTAAGCCGAAGAAGAAGCGGGGTGGTAAGACTCCAAAGAAGCAGAATTCCGGCGCCGACAAAGAGCAGCAGGCGAAAGGCCCTACTACATCGAAGGCCAAGGGACCAAAAAACGGCGGAGGCGGCCCCGGAAAAGGGCCGCACAAGAAGTGACCAGCCACGACTTGGCGCTCCGGTGGTTCGCAAAGCTGACGTTTCGGCAGGCGGCGTCACGTGTTCGCAACCGCGGAGTTCATAGCCTCAGCGCCAAAGTCTTGTCTTTGGACGAGAAGAAAGCGCTGGGGCTCGGTCTGAAGTTTATTCCAACGCCCGCTGTTTCCCTTTCTACGGTCGAGTTAGATCAGCTCTGCCGACAGATTTCGCTACGTTTCTTCTTCAAGGATGCAGACCCGGCTAAGGACTATCGCTTTCGGGTGAGAAATCCGAGCTGGGCTCCTGATCGGAATGAGATTCCGGAGCAGGTCTTCAGAGATTCGTCCTCGGACTTATCTTTTCTGCTGAAGGCATCTAGGCCTCCTCGACACCGAAACATCTCGTTACGTGTTCGACAGGCTTTGGCTTCGTAGTGTGGTTATTAAACCTGCTGACAAGAACATCGGGATCACTGTGATGGACCGGGAACTTTACGTTCGTCTCTGTATGGACCATCTAGGCGACAGATCGACTTACGCCCCGGTTCTCCAAGATCCTACTGCCTTAGTCGTTCAGGGACTGCACGAACTGCGTCACGCATGGGGCCCTGCTTATCCCGACAGCCTTTGGAAGTATTTCTTAGACGAACCACCTGGAGGTTGGAGACCAGCAGCCTTTTACATCCTTCCTAAGCCACATAAGAAGCAGCTCGCCGGGCGTCCGATCGCCGCTTCGCACTCATGGGTTACTTCGAATGTTAGCAGATGGTTAGATGCAGAGCTTAGGCCGTTGGTGCTACGACAGCATACCTACCTCCGAGACTCTCTTTCGCTACTCTTGTCGCTGGAGGAAACTTCATTTCCTAACGAGATTCTTCTAGCCACGTACGATGTCTCGTCGCTTTACCCCAGTATTCCCCTTAGGCGCGGACTCGATGCGGTGAGCAGCATTTTGCAACGAGGGAGTCACCCTAGTTCTCAACCAGTCATGGCCCTGCTGGAGTGGGTCATGATGAACTCCTACGTGGAGTTCGACGGCCACCTGTACCATCAGACGCAGGGCACCGCTATGGGAACTCCTGCAGCGGTCTGCTTTGCTGTACTTTTCATGAGCCGCCTGGATGAGATTTTGAGGGAGAGATGGTCCGGAACCTTACCTCTACGCCACGTCAGATACATCAATGATGGCCTGATCATTTGGCCAGGTTCGAGGAGCGAGTTGGAGAAGTATCTGCAGACCTTCAACGAGCTTGACCCTAATATCAAACTGACGTGGCAGATTTCGGACAGTTCAGCTGATTTTCTTGATTTGGTCCTTTTCAAGGGACCGAGATTTGCTGAGCAGGGAATCTTGGATTTGAAGACATTCCAGAAACCACTTAACCGATACCTGTACCTCCCTTTTTCGTCTTTTCACCCCCGACACTGCAAGACTGGTTTCATTGCAGCTGAACTGAAGCGTTATCTTCTCCGCTCGACTGCTGCTGATACCTTTCTCGCCTCCAAGCGCGCTTTCTACCAGCGGCTACGAAGTCGGGATTACCCCTCTGATTTCCTGCTACCCATCTTCAGGAGCATTTTCTTTCGACAACGACCTCTCCTACTGGAGCAGACTGCTGCCCGCCACGCACACAAACTTGAAACTCCCCCCGAACGCGGCCCCCTGGTCTTGAAGACACTGTTCACACCTTTGACCGGACGTCTCAGGCTGGGGGTGCTTTTGAGGCGCCTCAAAAGTCGTCTCATGTCTCGCGGTTTTTATGTGGGGAGAATTATAATTGCATGGAAGTGTGCGCGTAACCTTCAGCGGTTACTTGTAAGGGCGCGGTTACCAAAGTCACTCGCCAATGTTGTCGAAGAAGTTCCCGAAGGCTGACTTGGCACCCTGAATTTGTTTCAATGCTTAGTTGGCGAACCCCTTTCCTAGTCGGATTCTGGGTAGTTGGGTTTCTTGTATGTAGATCTCGAGGGTAGTCTAGTTACTTTAGCTGCTACCAGACTCTCTGTTTCTGAGTTCCGAATTGTGCTGTACTGATGAAGGCGTGATTGGGTTCGCCCATCCGCCGAAACTAGTTTACGCAAGGAGGCTTTTCGGAAGCTAAGGGTTTTTCAGATCTGCGTTTTTCACAAGCGTTTTTCACTGTTGTTCCTTTGCCTAAGCGTTTTTCTGCTACTGCAGCCCTTCGACCATGAGTTTGGGTGGCTGTCGAAGCTGATAAACGAAGCATCGTCCATGGCCTGCTGGGAGCTCGCTGCTCGAGTCACCTGGATACATCAAGCTACCCGCACAGCCCCTCTATGAACATGTGCACCCCTCTACTCACCTGGGTGCCGTGCCGCACGCGGATGTCAACCGCCTTGCTGTCGATGCTGATGAACGACGCATCATCCATGGCCCGCTGGGGGCTCGGTGCTAGAGGTACCATGAAATGCCACCCACGGGCCATCCTACTATTCACCTGCACAGCACCCCATTACTCACCTGGGTGCCGTGCCGCACGCGAATGTCAACCCCCTTGCTGTCGATGCTGATGAACGACGCATCATCAATGGCCTGCTGGGGACTCGACCCTTGAGTAGCCTGGGTACCAAACCAAGTGATGCCACCCATGGGCCACGAGTCTATTCACCCATGTGACCCCCATTATTCACCTGAGTGCCATGCCGCACGCGGATATCCACCCCCTTGCTGTCGATGCTGATGAAAGAAGCATTGTCGATGGCCTGTTGTGGGCTCGAGTCAACTGGGTGCCAACAACCAAGTCACCCCTCTACTCACCTGAGTGCCGTGTCGCACGCGGATATCCACCCCCTTGCTGTCGATGCTGATGAACGAAGCATCATCGATGGCCTGCTGGGGGCTGCTCAAGTCACCTGGGTTCCAACAACCAAGTTATCACACCTGCACAGCACCCCATGATTCACCTGGGTGCCGTGCCGCACGCGGATGTCAACCCCCTTGCTGTCAATGCTGATGAAAGAAGCATCGTCAATGGCCTGCTGGGGACTCGACCCCGCCAGCACCGCCCTCAACTCCCCGCCCAGCCGGTCGTTGAGCTCCTGATGATGAGGACAGGGGGGGGCGGAAGAGGCACGGGGGAAAGGGATGGGGAAAGCATCGCCGATGGCCTGCTGCGGGCTCGACCCCGCCAGCACTGCTCTCAGCTCGGCTCCCAGCCGATCGTTGAGTTCCTGCCAGGCATAATGACAGGGGGGGGAGGGAGCACTCACATTTGAGAAACAAACGAAGCATCGCCGATGGCCTGCTGGGGGCTCGACCCTGCCAGCACTGCTCTCAGCTCGGCTCCCAGCCGGTCGTTGAGCTCCTGTCACCAACAGAGGGGAGGAAGCACTATGATTTGAGAGAGGGAGGAAGCGTCATTGATGGGCTGCTGGGGGCTCGACCCTGCCAGCACAGAGGGCGCCCGCCTCACAACATTATGTTCCCTCTCAGCCTCACCTGCAGCGTGTGTTCAACATGGTTGGTGGCCACTGTATCAGGCGTGGCAGCCACATACTCAGCCACTCAGCCTTAACTCACCTGTGAGCAGAGCGTCTGTTCCCTCTCAGCCTCACCTGCAGCGTGTGCTCAACGTGGTTGGTGGCCACTGTATCAGGCGTGGCAGCCACATACTCAGCCACGTCAATCCACGCCACCGTGCCAAAGCCCCCCACAAAATAGATGTCACTGAGGGAGTGGGGGGGGGGTGGAGAGGAAGGGGGAGGAAGGGGGAGTGGGGGAAAGGGCAAGAGAGTGCGTAAGTATGTATGTTGGCGCCATTTCACATACTCAGCCACGTCTATCCACACCACCCACAAAGTAGATGTCGCTGGGGAGGAGGAGAAAGAGGGGGCAGAAAGGCAAGAGTGTGTAGTTTTGAGGCGTATCCATGGGGGTTACCAACAAATTACGATTACAAATAAATTTGATTACCAGACGAATCCGCTTACCAGATGAATGCGGTTACCAAATGAATGTGGTTACCAGATGAATGCACTTACCATATGGTATCCATGCGATAGAAGTGGAAGTTGCCCCACTGCTGCGCAGCCCCGTGCTGGTGGCGCTTCACATAGAAGCCCCGCGCCCACTCCTGGCAGGTAAGAGAGGGGGTTTTCAGGAGGGGAGGGGAATGGGGAACGGGGGAGAGATGAGGGCCGTGTGTGGCCGTGTGCGGGTGTCGCTTCACATAGAAGCCTCGCGCCCACTCCTGCCAGTGGTGAGTTAAGGGGGAGAGCGAGGAGGTGAGGGGGATTGGTGGAGTGGAGCAGAAATGTGAGGGAGTGGCCTGGAGAGCAGATGTCTGTGCTGCTGCGCTGGCCCGTGCCCGTGCCCGTGCTGATGCTGATGCTGATGCTGATGCTGATGCTGATGCTGATGCTAATGCTGATGCTGATGCTGATGCTGATGCTGATGCTGATGCTGATGCTTATGCTTATGCTTATGCTTATGCTTATGCTGAATGCTGATGCTGATGCTGATGCTGATGCTGATGCTGATGCTGATGCTGATGCTTATGCTGAATGCTGATGCTGATGCTGATGCTGATGCTGATGCTGATGCTGATGCTGATGCTGATGCTGATGCTGATGCTTATGCTTATGCTTATGCTTATGCTGATGCTGATGCTGATGCTGATGCTGATGCTGATGCTGATGCTGATGCTGATGCTGATGCTGATGCTTATGCTGAATGCTGATGCTGATGCTGATGCTGATGCTGATGCTGATGCTGATGCTGATGCTAATGCTGATGCTGATGCTGATGCTGATGCTTATGCTGATGCTGATGCTGATGCTGATGCTGATACTGATGCTGATGCTGATGCTGATGCTGATGCTTATGCTGATGCTGATGCTGATGCTGATGCTGATGCTGATACTGATGCTGATGCTGATGCTGATGCTTATGCTGATGCTTATGCTTATGCTGATGCTGATGCTGATGCTGATGCTGATGCTGATGCTGATGCTGATGCTTATGCTGATGCTGATGCTGATGCTGATGCTTATGCTGATGCTGATGCTGATGCTGATGCTGATGCTGATACTGATGCTGATGCTGATGCTGATGCTGATGCTGATGCTGATGTTGATGCTGATGCTGATGCTGATGCTGATGCTGATGCTTATGCTTATGCTGATGCTGATGCTGATGCTGATGCTTATGCTGATGCTGATGCTGATGCTGATGCTTATGCTGATGCTGATGCTGATGCTGATGCTTATGCTGATGCTGATGCTGATGCTTATGCTGATGCTGATGCTGATGCTGATGCTTATGCTGATGCTTATGCTGATGCTGATGCTTATGCTGATGCTGATGCTGATGCTTATGCTGATGCTGATGCTGATGCTTATGCTGATGCTGAT